CGTAGCATAGCTTGTGCAGAGAGGTACAAGTAGTTCATTATTACTGAAAGGTAGATTTCAGTTGGACAGGTAGGTAGGAGTTAAACCATATGAAAGAACTTGGGATTTTGTCTCTAGATGGTGGGGAGTTTGAAGGATTTTTAGTACAGGCATACCTCGGAGATATTGTGGGTATTGTTCCAGACAACTGCAATAAAGTGAATATTGTAGTAAAGCGAGTCACATAGATATTTTGGTCTCCCAGTGCATATAAAAGTTACGCTTGCACTATACTATAGTCTATTAAGTTTGCAAGAGCATTACATCTGAAAAAAAAAAAAAAACAACATATGTACCTTAATTTAAAAAATATTGTTGGAAAATGCTAATGATCATCTAAGCCTTCAGTGAGTCGTGATCTTGTTGCTGGTGGACGGTCTTGCCTTGATGTTGATGGCTCTGACTGATCAGGGTGATGGTTGCTGAAGGCTGGGGTGGCTGTGGCAATTTCTTAAAGTAGGACAACAATGAACTTTGCTGCTTCAATGGACTCTTCCTATCATGAAAGATTTCTCTGTAGCATGCGATGCTGTTTGACAGTATTTTACCCACAGTAGAACTTCTTTCAAAATTAGAGTAAATCCTTTCAAACACTGCCACTCTCAGTCTACTAAATTTATGTAATATTTTAAATCCTTTGTTGTCATTTCAACAATCTTCACAGCATCTTCACCAAGAGTAGATTCCATCTCAAGAAATCACTTTTCTTTGCTCATCCATACAGAGCCATTCCTCACTTGTTAAACTTTTATGAGATTGCAGCAATTCAGTCACATCTTCAGGCTCCACTTCTAATTCTAGTTCTCTTGTTATTTCCACCACATCTGCAGTTACTTTCTCCACTGGAATCTTGAACCCGTCAAAGTCATCCATGAGGGTTGGAATTAACTTTTTCCAAACTCCTGTTTATGTTGATATTTTGACCTTATCGTGAATCATGAATGTTCTTAATGGCATCTAGAATGGTGAATTCTTTCTGGCAATTTAGTTTGCTCAGATCCATCAGAGAAATCATTATCGGTGGTGATAGAATTTGGATTTGTTGTTCCCAAAGCTCATGGCAAAATCTGATCCCTAACTTGGCAATGCTGGGAGTGGTTTGGGTTATGGTAGCAGATTCCTCATGAATAGATTAATGCCCTGGGGGGGGGGGGAGGGGGGGCGGGGGTGGTAGTGAGTGAGATCTCTATTAGTTTCCAAGAGAGCTGGTTGTTTAAAGGACCTTGGCTCTTCCCCTCTCTCTCTTGCTTCCTCTTGCCATTTGATCTGCTTGTACCTGTGGGTTGGCCTGCCATTTTCTGCCATGAGTAGAAGCAGCCTGAGGCCCACGCCAGATGCAGCTATCCCAGAATCATAAGCCAGATAAACCTCTGTTCTTTATAAATTACCTAGTTTCAGTATCCTGTTATAAGCCAACAGAAACAGACTAATACAGGTGGCAACTACAACCTTATGAAATATATTTCTTAAGTAATAAGACTTCAAAGTCAAAATTACTCCTTGATCCATGGGCTACAGAATAGATGTTGTGTTAGCAAGCATGAAAACAACATTAATTTCCTTGTACATCTCCATCAGAGCTTTTAGGTGACCGGGTGCATTGTTAATGAGCAGTAATATTTTGAAAGGAATCTTTTTTTTCTGAGCAGTAGGTTTCAATAGCTAGCTTAAAATATTCAGTAAACCATGGTGTAAAGAGATGTCATCCTGGCATTTACAGAGCACAGGCAGAGCGGATTTAGCATAATTCTTAAGGGCTGTACAGTTTTTGGAATGGTAAATGAGCGTTGGCTTCAATTTAAAGTCACCAGCTACATTAGCCCCTAACAAGAGTCAGCCTGTCCTTTGAAGCTTTGAAGACTTGAAGCCAGGCATTGACTTCTCCTCTCTAGCTATGAAAGTCCTAGATGGTATCTTCTTCCAATATATGGCTCTTCTGTCTGTGTTGAAAATCTGTTATTCAGTGTAGCCATCTTCATCACTGATCTTAGCTAGATCTTCTGGATCTCTTGCTGCAGCTTCTACATGAGCACTTGCTGCTTCACCTTGCACTTTTATGTTATGGAGACGGCTTCTTTCATTAAACCTCATGAACGTTAAAAAAGCTAGCCTCCGCTAGCTTCCAATTTTTCTTCTGCAGATTCCTCACCTCTCTCATCCTTCATAAAGTTGAAAAGAGTTAAGGCCTTGTTCTAGATTAGGCTTTGGCTTAAGGGAATGTTGTGGCTGGTATGATCTAACACTTTGATCACTAAAACGTTCTCCATATCAACAAGAAGGCTGATTCGCTTTCTTATCATTTGTGTGTCCACCGGAGTAGCACTTTTACTTTCCTTCAGTAACTTTTCCTTGGTATTCCTGACTTGGCTAACTGTTTGGCACAGTTTGGATAGGTCTAGCTTTGGCCTATTTCGGCTTTTGACATGGCTTCCTCACTAAGCTTAATCATTTCTAGCTTTTTATAAAAGTGAGAGAAGTGCGACTCTTCTTTCACTTGACCACTTAGAGGCCATCGTAGGTTTATTAAAATAATTACAATAGTAACATCAGAGATCATTGGTCACAGATCACCATCATAGATACAATAATAATGAAAAAAGTTTGAAATATTGCAAGAATTACCAAAATGTGATACAGAGACATGAAATGAGCACATGCTATTGGAAAAATGGTGTTGATAGACTTGCTCAAGGCAGGGTTGCCACACACATGCAATCTGTAAAAAGTGCAATATCTGTGAAGCACAACAAAGCAAAGCACAGTAAAACAAGGTATGCTTGTAAATGTTTTCCGTTGCAGATAAGCAAAAGTACCATTTTCAATAAAGGAAAAAGGAATTCTGCAGATACAAATCTATGAGCTAAACATGGGTCACTTAGTTACAAGTGACCAAACCAACTAATAAGGCTTTAGAGCTCATTTCCAGCACTGCTGGTTGCCAGTTGCACAAGCAACGTCAAACATCTGTCTCCTCTTAGTCTGTTGTGTCTGCTTCGTTTCCAAAGTAGCTCTGCCTACCTGGTTGCAGAGATGGTTGTCAGCAGCTCCAGGCTTTGTAGCAGCTTAGAAACAGTTGAAAAAGATCATGTTTTTTTTCTTTAGTTCCAGAAAAGTCCCTGGACCAACTCATTGGTCTGGCTTAGATCATGTGACAAACCCTAAACCAATCCCTATCTGATTTGCCAGATCTGGGTCATGTGTCCTTTCCTAGAGCTGTGGATGGGTCTGCCTCATCTGAACTATGTGCTTTGAAAGGACTACACTGCTGGAAAAAATGTTTTTGATAGTTTTAATTATCATTGACGTAAGTGAAGAAAATTTAAAAACTAACAAATTATCCCTAATCACACCAACCATAACTTTTAAGGAAGCAATCAGAAAGTGTGATAGAGAGGCTATTAACAGTAATCCAAAAGAAATTATGAGGTCAGAACATAGGAGTCATTCAATGAATATCAGAAGGAATGAGCATATTTTTAGTCCACTTTAAAGAACAATGGTAGGTCCAATCCATCCAAGTGCAATGCTAAAGGTATTGGTGGCATAGGCAATACAATGGTAAAAAGCTGGTAAATCCTGCAGTGTACCACCAAGACCTCATGCTGCAACAAATACAGCTAGAGGAAGAAAGGGCTTGGGTGAATTTCTGCCTTGACTTGGACAATTACTCCAGGGGCGGGGCAGGTTTGCTGACAGTCTTACCCATCATTCATGACCTCAGCTTCCCCTATATCCTCATGACTCCACGGTCCGTGACACCCACCTTTGCCTCTGCTGGGCCGTGTCCTGCAGCACCTTAAACTAAGGCAAATCCAAAACCGAGTTTGTCAGCCTCCCTCATTCCCCACCTAAACCTCCTCCATCGATTTCATTATCCAAGCCAAAAACGTGGGAGTCATCTCAGTTGCTTTCCCTACCCTCATCCTCCATATCCAGTCACTCTATTCCATTCACCTTCCAAGTGTCTCCATCCACTTCTGCCACCGGTTTAGTTCAGGCCCCTCAGTTCTCACCTGGACCGTTGCAGAAGTCTCAGAACTTCTGTCCTTGTCTCCGTTTTCAGGTCCCTACAGTACCTCCTCCTCACAGGAGCCAGAGTGATCTCGCTAAAACGCAAAACTGAAAATGATTCACCTGTTTAAAATCCTTCCATGAATTCCCTCATCTGGAGAGAAACCCAGACTCCTCAATAGAAGGAGGAATAGAAGCCAGGGTGCCGGTGATGAGCAGTGGGTATGGAGAAGTTCCTCCAAGAGCGCGAGGGGTATTCGGAGGAGGAAGTCAGCACTGAGCGCCGAGAACCACGGGGTGTTTGGGAGGTGGGGGGCGCTGGCCTGGGAGGAGATTTTGATCCAGACAACAGGACCGTAACGAAGAACCAGGACCCAGGGAGGAGGAACGAGCGCGGCTCGAGCGACGGCAGCGGGCAGGGCCCTGAGGCTGGCAGGGGCTGTAGGTGCTGGAAGGGCGAATCCCCGCGACCCGGGAGGGGCCGACGCGGGGGCGGGGCCGGAGCCAGGGGGCGTGTCCCGTCGGGCCGGCGACGGTGGGCGGGGCCGGGAGGCTGGAGGCCTCCGGGCGGCAGGGGGCGGCCTAGCCTACGGCGGTGGCTCTCGGTATATGGCTCCGCGCCTTGCG